TTCTACGTCTTATTCTCTTTGAGAACGTTTTGACGTCGGCATCGGCAGTGGTGCGAATATACTTTGTATGTGGCTGGAATTCTAATTAGACTTCAGCTTTTCACTAATCCGATCATCGCCAAAAATAGGTGTGGTTACCTGGAACGTTCAAATTCCGATTGACGGGCCCAAAAATGCCGGTTCAAGCCCCGTTATCGGCTAGACTAGATGCTTGATAAATTAGAAGAAAAAAAACTCATTCAGATTAATTATCGATCTAGTGGACCGCTGGCAAAAGGATAAACTTCGGAATACCATAAACAACCTTACGTATGTATATAAATGATAAACTTACCGAAGACAATTTAAATTAGACCGGTTTATTTCATACCATGCACATACCTCTAAGGTACTTCCCATTATTTCGAATAGATAATATTGTGAAATTATTCTATTACTAGCGGTGAAACCTGTAGTCATCGAGTTTTTCATTTAGTTTTTTTGGTGGTGATTAAATATTTTCGATATAGCTTATTGACAGACGTTTATCACAGACGTTTATTAATGAATGGGCAGAGTGGAATATTTTCGGCCAGTTTTCTTTCAATACTTCAAAGTTATTTGCTGAATAGAACATCGCTGCCCAATAAAGCACATAGAACTCTGAGCGTGACTTGAATACGCATGAGGATGTACCAAACATCCTTTCCATGGAAAGCGAGGTCCACGCTTCAGGAACTAACATAAAGTTCGTCTGCACTCTGAGGTTTCGTTCTAGCCGGTGCAATTCTGCCCCCGTGCTTCTGCACAGCGTCACCTGCACAACGAACTTTCAACGGTTGATAATCATTAAGGCCAACTCTGATGCTATAACAAAAGCGCCGCCATTAGATAAGACTGGCACGTTCCTGTAGAACTGCTTAAACTCAATATAGGTGCTACGTTCTAATCATATGCGCTGTCAGCGTGTCTGAACGCTTAACCAGTGCATTGTTGTATTAAGTTTGGTTGATGTATACCCAATACACGTGGCGTAGACACACCTTTATCGCTATAGTAATGACTAGTAAATCATTTTTGCCCATATTCTAGCTATTAAATAGTTTTAGATATTAGCCAATAACCAGCGTTCGTGATGCGATCTACAGTCTTATTGATCTTACTTGTTTTTGAGCAAGACTGGACGCGTTTTCGTGTCGATGACCTTATTCTAGCGCCATGTTGATAATGTTTTACTAGGAGCAGGATGATGTTACATGTGTAACGTTTTGCTTCCCGTAAAAAAAATATGCCTGAACAAAGCGATCCGAGCAAACTATCCATCTTCGTGCATAAGATTTCTACCGTTTGTCCTGCTTCAGGAAAACATATCAAAGATAGGCCAGAACCATCAAAGAACGAGGCTTCTGTTCTATCAGCTTTTTAAACAAAATGTCTGAGGTGTGTAAACATATTGCTCGTGTCAATAGAGCCCATTCTATTCCTACAGATACCGACGGCCAGAAGACAAATATATAAACAGACGAATAAGGTGGCAATGGATGTTAGTGACAACAAAGGTCGTTTTTTTTTTCAAAAGCAATTTCTTAAAAATACCTGTTCATCATGGATTTGCGAAACATGGAAACAAAGTACCATATACAGACGTCGTGCAACGGGCTCAAAACTGTGACAGCTAAGGGTTTTGGTTGTTACTATCGTTGTTCGCTGTCAGTGATTTCTTCATTTTATTTGCTAAGGACAAATCATGATCGTCATGTTTTATCCGCTCAGCAGTCTGCTAGACATATATGTTTACGATTAGAGGCAGCTAGCTAAAAACAGCAATTTTCGTGTTGAAGCGGCTGCTTATTGACATAAGTAACTTGTATAACTTGCGACAAAATTTCGTAAACCAAACACGTAAGATGACCGATCAAACTGATTACCCTTATTATGTCAACTGAATTATATTCATATCTTATTATGTCAAATAATAGATCATTTTATTTTAATTTGGCCAAAATACATTGTAGGACATGTCAAAAATAGAGTCTTTGGTATTGACGGATAACGCAATGATATTTTCCAAGTAACAGTTCAGTAGATATTATATCATATCTCTTTTTAATTTTAAAGATTAATTATCTCAAAGTTATATGAATGCCTCAAGATATAGTCGTTGGTAATTAGAATACTCTTATTTTCAGATGTATCCTTTTTTTCGAGGTAGCATTTACATTGAAATACATACATTTTTTTTTCAGGTTGTATTTACTTTTTTTTTTTTATTAGTTTATTTCAACTTGGATTATGTGTACTGCAATATGCATGATATATCGTACTGGAACAACGCCCCGCTGAATCAACGGTCTTTACGATGAAGACAGGCTAGAATTATACAGGAACTAGTCTCGCTTTATGCGAAGCAATCTACACTGCATATATAAATATAGATATATATATATATATATATATATATATATATATTGGCTGTATAGGTTAAAGAACGATGAGTTTGAGGAATCATCCTGTTTTCTGTTGAGATTTCTATTGTGATGTTTGCCTGTCAGAAGCGGTTCGATAATTTGCTATTATGAACCTTATGCTAAAGTCTAGAGTTATCTTCTCACGTTTTTTTGTTGGCGCGGACAAAAAGCATGTTTGCATCTAGATCCTAGTGTAAATTGTAGCTATAGTGAGACAGTTATTTATCTCCTATACGTTGCTATATTGAGGTAGAACGACTAGCTAACTATGTAGTTAACTTACGTTAAGCAGCTTACGGCCTTGGAAGTAAAGGCCATGTTTTTTCTATCTGGTACGACGGAATTTTCGTCGATTCTAAATGTAACCTGTTGAAATTATAATACTAAAGAACATAAAGTTTATTTTGAAAAAGTTAAGGCTTAACTAGCCTTGTATATTCATAATGATCTTGATGATCTTTTTAGTGACTAAGGTCAAACAATTTCAAATTTAAAAACTTGGTTTACGCACTTGCACTCATTCTTTAAGTTAGACGCTATACTTACAATTAGAAGAAGATAAACTTGAGTTCAGGATCTTAACTATATCTGAGCAGCAGTTTACTTTTTGTAACATCGAACCCCATAGCACATGTTCTGCTTATACGATCGGAGAACGATTAAAGCGCGCAGGCTATTACCTTCTATGATTACTATGACATTCAATGTTGTTTATTTCAAACTAAAAATTAATACGATTCATCAGAAATCGACTCTTCGCTAGTTTTTAGAGTACAAGAATATTAGTCGTTCATAATAGTCTTACTACTACAAAAAAAATACTAACAATCGGATAAAGGAGAACACGCGTCGATTTCGGATCTGCCATTAGACAGAGCTTAAACTGCACTGGCTAATAGTAAATTATAGCCTATACCTGTGTGTGCTCGGCTGTATATCCGGAACGGTGTTTTATGAGTTGGTTACTACACGAATCTGTGGATCCTTGATGAGATCAATTTGGATAACTACCGCCAAATCCAGTTCTGCTGCCCGAATCTCGTGTTTTTTTTCTCATAGAATCGAGCGACATTTGGTATAGATCGACTGTCGTCAGCCTTCCTGAAGTAGCAAATTGTTATGTATTTAAATTTATGTTAGCAACAATAATTGGTTCTGGCACAAAGGTGCGATCTATATTTGATTCGTACGTTAATAGAATGATGCGTTCGTCTCCGACGTTAACGTGGCTAGTCCTTTTCCGGCCCACCATTAGCTAACAAGCACGGAAGGGACCTATATATTCAACGTGTACCTAACGGATGTGGTCAAGTAGACTATTTGATGTATGTGAAATGCAGCTGTTAGAAAAGCTGCCGCGCATCACGTTGGGACTTGGGAATCAGCCACATAATAAAATATCATAAAACAGGGATAAAAAAGAATCATACTATCAGAAAACAAATAGAGTCCAATTACTATGGAATGATACTTGTTTTGCATTTCGTACATAATTTTTAGATAATCCTCCTAATAACAAACGTTCATGGCAATAAGTCAAAGTTTGCCTACGTCTTTGATTACATATTTGTAGGCAGCAATAATATTCAACCAAATAGAAATCATCTACTACATCATTTTTTGTCTATGAAAAAAAATGCGCTATTAAAGGATTCTATTTTCTAGAAATAATGTCTCTACATGATACAGTCGTGATACCATGAAATACGTTAGCCGCCATTTGTCTGACATCGAAAAACGCATGCATGTGGCTCGGGGGTTCGATGCTATAGCTGTTAGCAGGTAACAAGTCGATGTAATCGTTGTCCTAGTACCCAGTAGTCTGAGCCGTATAAAAGGCCTTCAGTATAGATGCTACTGTATACATGATAAAAACCTTTTATATAGCATAAGTACCGGCAATAAAGTTTGTGTCAGGAAAGGAGCTAATGCAAAAGGCCTTTAGTCGCTCAAGTCAAATATATGTATTATTCACACGCTCAATTTTTATATACAAACATGTTGAATTGCACTGTGGTACTGATAGATGGTCGAATATAAAGAACTATTTTTTTGTGAAGAAAAAAATGTTGGCCGGAAAGAAAAACACATTAATAGTCTTAGGATGCTCGGTTGGGAGTGGTCTAATAAATTAAATCAGTATGAGCGGGCATTAAATGCATTTTGGATACATGACTGTAAGGTAGGGATCTACTGACAATTTTCCTAGGTAAACTGATATGGAATTTAAAAGTACGGAGGAAGCTTACTTACTTTACATATGAAAAAGTACGGAAGAAAGTACGGAAGCACCCATTGAAAGTGAAAGGGCCATACAGCTGCATGGAAGTTTTACCAAAAAAGTAATATTCATATCATATCCAATGTATATGTCTATACTAAATATATACATATATATATAACGGATGGGTCATGCCAGTAGATAGGCGTCATTTCTTATGTGGAACAGCCGTGCCAAAAGCACCCTTTTAACTTGGCTGAATCGCCCGCCTCGTTGAAATATAAACAAAGATGCATCCATCTGCGAGCATAGACAGCTGAACTTTTGACTGTATTGGGTGTTGATGGGTTCAATACACTCATATATAGCTGGAAACATTTTGTGAAGAGAAAACTGTGTTAGATTGTTTCAAACTAGGCGTCCAAAATTCAATCTATTACTCTGACGTATGTCAGGGTGAAGTGACGTAATGGTGTACCAGGTTATAGGCAGTACAGGTGGAGCGGGACAAGCTGGCAGCGTTGTGGGCGGTCCAGCCGGGGATGGTGGTGCCGTAGTTGTCGATGCTTTACCATATATTGATCACGAGTATGATGGTCCGGGAGTGCGTGAAGCTGTGTTAGCCATGGTGGAAGAAGAGACCCGCCGATACCGACCTACGAAAAATTATCTCGAGCACCTCCCGTCGCTCAATTTGCACGCCTTTGAAACGGACATTATGCGAGCGGAGCTTGAGCGTTTACAATCTCGCACACCAATGGACATGATCTCGATGAAACGCTACGAACTGCCCCCCCCGGTTCACGGACGCCACAACGACTTACAGGCCTGGACAGAGGCCGTAGAAAATTCGTACGCACAATTAGAACAGCAAGTAACTCGCATTATTAATTTGGAACTACTCGAGAAATACGGCGCGGAAGTGTGCAAAGCCCATAATGAGGTTCTTGTCGGTCTAGCGCGGCATGTTCAGGGACGGCTACGTGACATGCGCGCACAGATTCAGGACATTCACTTAGGCAGAAAAACCGAACAGACCGAAGTTGGTGAAAGATTACAGCTGCTTGAATCTCAGTGGGTCGGACTTGTGTCGAAAAATTACGAGATCGAGCGCGCCTGTGCTGAACTTGAAAAGGAAATGGTGGCATCTGAACATCAGGAGGATTCGGCCGTTGAAGGATGGACTTCTGAATCTGTAAGAGACGATAAAATGGATATATCTAGCAATGGTGATAAACACCAGGATAATAAAGGTGCCTATGAGAAGAGTGAAGAACCACCCACCAAGAAGATTCGGGGCCCCGAATAGACATAGTCCGTGCCGTTTCTTGGAGAGATCTTGTTTTGAGAACCTTCGCTGCGGCCTTGGTTAAGATGATGATGGACAGAGATGTCATTGAGTCTATTTTTTTTGTACGATTTTTGTTATATATTTACGGTTACAGCCATGTTTCCGAAGTTAATTAGAATTCGAAATTGATTTGTTATTGTCTGTAGAAACGTTTACCCAGACATTTATGAAGTGCATCCAAGTCTTTGATAGTGACGGATTCCAGACTGTATGGACAGTATACCAAAATTTCTTAAGAATTCTTGAAACAAACACATCGCATTGTAAAGACCCAGCTGTCGGTCACAACAGCGTACAGAATGTATGTTAGATATATTCAATGTTTCCGAACGATTTTTTTCGTTTACAAAATCTACCAAAAACATTTGAATCCTTCAAAGATTAGTTTCTGCTAACCTAAGTGTATTAAAGCATAAGATATTTGAGATTCAAAAAAGATGTATTACTATAATTCGTTATGAAATACTATACGAATGTTTTCATCCGTATAGTACATTTAAATAAAAAAGTGAATGTATGTATGTGTATATATGTAATGAATTATTCCATCAAAAAAATAATGTAAACTTTGCATAGATCTGCGGGCAACAGAACAGGTAAAATTACAATGATGACATTCAGTTATCATTTAAATTTTAGTTTATTTCCGGATATATAGTATAGCTTGCAGTTAACTAGCTCTCCTTTATATACAGTATAATAAGACACAGGCTGTACAAAGGTTGACCTTTTTTCGCGGCCTCATCTTCTATCAGTATTGCGAATAAATGAAAAAATGTGTCTTTTTTGTTGAAATTAGAAACAATTGTGGTAATTTTTAATTCAGGGGTAGGTCTCTAGTAAAATTTAAATGGAAAGAAATGCCAAGACAAGCAGTTCTTTTGAATATATGTAGGAATAGTCATGTGACCTCATACGGACCAGTACGGTAGCCTAATTCTGTCACAATATTGTATTATATTGCGCTTTTTTTTTCTTAAGTTTAGAGAAATTTAAAACCTTAAAAATGTTATGGCTTTCGATATGAATACAACGAAGTCAATCATTTGTATCTAAGCGCTATATTTGAAGGACATTGAGTCTAAAGCATTATGAATTACCAAATAGAGCACTCGTTTTAGTTACGGGATGACCTGTGGGATATTTTGCGGTTTTCTTGCTCCAATCCTCATGAAAAATGAGTAATGACGCATGGACGCCAAATAGTACCAGCTAATCCACTATTTCTCAATGCAAACTCTAATGAAATATACTTGATCCATGTTTCAGGAAGTATGGATAGCTGTATTAGGCACAGACTAAACGTCCCGTAACAGCAACGACGCATTTTAGAGAGATGTGAAGTGGCCTAGATTGAAAATCGTGTGGATGGTTTGTTTCTTGTTAAAGCGAGCCAGCCTTGTTGAGCAATGCTTAACTAAAGTAGTAGCGGGTGTAGAACTAATATGCTCGAAACAGTCATTCTTAGATACACACTAGCTGCGGGTGACAATAAAATGAAGTGATGCAGGTCGCCACCAGGCCCTTTGCGCACTGTCAATCTGGACACCAAGTCTCATAGTTAGTAACAGACCCCGCTTCTTCTTTCCTAAATTTTCTTCTCATACCTAGCTACCTGCAAGCACCTTGCACGTAATTTTTACGCTTTTCAGAAGCTTATGAAGCATTTATCCATGAGATTTTCTTTCTTGGTTTGTTTTCCAGATTTACTTTGTTTAGCGTAATGTCGTTTAAGCTGTTTCATGTGTCCTTCGCTAGCCGCTGTTGGCGATGACATCTCATGCCCATTTAACTGCCCCTTTTGAATGTGACGTGTTCAGCCCGAGTATTTTTTATCTTCGGCGACCACTATGCATCCCAAACACAAATCCGTATGAGTTTTCGATGGGATGCATGTAAGCAAACATACATATTTCGTAATGCGGCCTGGGAAAGGAAGCCTGGATGATGGAACCTAAACGGGCAACCTAGGAAATTCACCATCTGTTCTTTGCCGACTAGTAATATATCTCGCTTGTGTTATACTCACTTTGTTGTATGAAAAATTGCCCACGGGAGTGTCTGTTATACATAGCCCACAACTGCATGAAGTGGATGTGAATGTTCCTACGCTGCTTCACTCATTGAGCTATATGGAACAGGCCTCATATGCTAAATATTGCGGTAGTGCATAGCCGTGATTAAGAACAATAATGGCCCAGAACGATGTCTTTTCAGGGATAGAAGTTAATGTCATGACTCTTTGGTATGGTTTGTTTTTATTTATAACAGTGATGAGATCCAGTTTAATGCATTTTTCGTGTCTCTCCTTCAAAGTGAAAACCAGAGGCGAACATCGCTTTTTTCTTTTTTTTTTTTTTATAAACAACATCGCATTTTTTATTTTTCGCGTACCTCATAAACGGCTTAAAAGTTAACTGACCTTGCTCTTTTCTCATTCGAAAATCAGAATCATCATACCGAAACGAGATATGGATACAGATGACGGTCCGCATCCCTACTCTTGGAGATCCAAGCAATACGATCACTTTATTTTCGCGTTCACACTCCCGAGCTTTCCTCAAATTAAGAGAAACGAGAGACGAACATGTAGTCCTCACTGATGGGCTGGATTCTCCTTGCAGCTTCCCTCAGATATGTTATTGTTTCCAACCTTATAATTGCAGTCGTTGCGGACATATTATGTAAAGGTTTTTCTCTCTCCACAGTTTGCATTGATGGTGGCGCACGTATGGGATAAGACGGAGGTTTGCCTAGACGAACGCGACTAGTCCACTCGGCTTCAGTTAAAATGCCCCAGACGGCTGAACAACAGCGGGTGGAAACAAAACGTGCATGTTTTGCGCAGTTTCGTACCGTTGATGCACCAATGATGTGGTGATAATTCGCCCTTCATCCGTTAACGGTCGTCGGACTCCGCCGGCGGAGCTAATCAGCTTACCGATCAACCGTCACAGCTGCCACTCCGATGATAACTTCATATTTTATTACACCAACGATTGTTTCTTGTTTCAGTAAACGAGTTAGTCGAACGAAACTGAAAAACAATTTTCAGTGTGCTTTTACTTCTTAAGGGATGCGTAGCAATGACAATGATGATGGAATTAGTAATGTATGTCTTACCGGAAGGCTGTTGTGATCGAAATGTCTTATTGAATCTGATGTGGAGAACATACGAATGATTGTGCCAATTGCATGCCAACTGACAGGGCAAAGTGACTCGAGTTACTGGACGTACCGTAATACAACCGTTGATATTCAGTAACTAGACCTAAGAACCCAAAAAAATATATGACAAAATAGTTTTGAACGGTCATCACTACTAGCAAGTTACCTGGCTTTAAACTAAACTACCGCATGTTGTTGTTGTTGTCATCATCATTTAATACCTGAACGGGAGCAGATCGTCTTTGATTTTGCTACCATGGCACTGTTGGCAATTATTACGAATTTGACGAGTTCTATGAACCCGATAGAAATATTAGACACTCAATAAATGAAGATCTTCATTTGACACGATGAATTCGAGATTTTTATTCGCCTGATTTTAAATTGCAAAGACTAAAACTCAGAATGACTGACAACTCTATTTGCTATTCTGTGTTCGTTTTATTCTACCGAAGGTTTTACCGAAGACCACCATTGATGAAAAAAAAATCATGCCAGAGAGTTTGAATCAGCAATTTCTGCCCTTTATGTTCTGAGATTTAGTAGTACAAGCCGCCTTGACAATATTTGTTCTTAAAAAATAACATCAAGGTTTCCATGTTGCCTAGTTCACTTCAGTTCACAACACGATCCATTCTCATCGTCTCGAAATCAAAACAATCAAATATGCAGCTATCAGAATTGAATAACAACGACGAAACAAATGTCCAGTACGATTTCAGCGTTCTTTTCTAATAAACTACTATCATTTTTGATGCTTTGTTTCGTCGCATTGATTGAATATCTAAAACGTTGTTCATCATTAGCTCCGGAACTTCGAAATGTAGAGCCGCTTTTTTTCTATTTATCGCTGGCCCCAAAGCCATTCTAAAGAATACAGAATTTCATTTGTTGCTTTTGACAAGCGTAAGAAGAAAACGAAAAAAGATCGAGACAAATCTGGCACTTTGCCACACCGTTAAATTTGCTGGCGAAGAAAAAAGTTTACGTAGAATTAGTAATGAACTTGGTGCTTGTCCGTGTACCGGAGCGTCGAAAAGCCAACAGTTATGCTAGAAGAGATGAATAGCGAACGACTCGTCACTAATCGATTGCTTCATCATATTGTCGTCAATTTCGCGGCCGCCAGAACTAGAGTGCGAGAGGTGCACCGCCCAGTCCGCTACGGCTAAATGGCTACCCTTCATAGTCTATGTAGTTAGTCGGACCTATCTTAGTAAAATAGCTGAATAAAAAGTATGCGCTAGTAACAATGGCTATGACGGACAGCATGCGAGTGTAATATACTGATAATTCAATGGAACGTCTCAAGAAGAGTGTGGGGATTTCCGACTGGGAAGGCCCGAATCTGAGTTAAATCTGAATTTAGTTGTTTGGTTTGTTTGTCTGCCTGTCTGGTTGTAATTTTTATTTTAGCGGACCTATCGAATGCATTCTCTCCTTTCTGCTGAAAGGATAGCTACAATTGACGTCACGATGAATGAAGCATCATCTTGCGATATGCGGCGTATATAATACTAGTTGCACAGTGTTAGTCACCATTGTCCGGGCGGTTAATGGAAATGGTAGACGATTGCTGAATGGATCGCGAGAACGGTCTGTTCTCGAAGAAGCTATTCATTTTAAAAAGAATACAATTCAATATTATTTCTAACATCATATTGCTAAAATAGTTTCGGCATAGGCACTTTAAATTGTTCGTTTATGCGTGAGACTATCCTTACTGTAATCGGTGGTGATGGTGTAAGTAAACTGCGTGACGACCGATATTGGCTGGTGACCGTCGGAGCAAACATAGATAGTGGCAAAAACAAACAATGTTTTGCCTGTATTATATACATTTACTTTGTCTGGAAGACGTCTCATTATTGCATTGTGGCTACTTGTAAAAACATCAGGGGTAGACCTATTAAGGAAATACATTATTACGTATGCGTGGCTTATGGCGGCTGTATTTGCTCCCCGCATCTACAGTATTAGTTTATTTAGAAAATAATGGCAGTTTTTATTATTTCTTTGACTTTCGGATTTTCTCTTTGCCCATGTTGTCTTACGTGCCGTGTAGAGTAATTGTCATAATGTCAAAATGTTTGTTTAGAGTAGGCTCCGAAAACTTGGCTTATCGGCCAACTTGGCCGATGTTGAAAAGCTACGAAAGCAAGACTGAAAATTCATCATATGCACGGTAAATGCTTTGCTATCCAGAAAAATACAGACTATTTTAACCATTATCTTCTTTAAAAAAAGTCTCTGAGCAGTCCTCGTTGAAATAAAAAAAAAACTTGCTGAAGTGCTTTCCTTAGATTGAAGTCATATTCGTAGCAAACCACGTTAGAGTTGCACTTTCAATTTGAGGGGGCCTTTGTACACGCCAGGCCTACCCAGCACCGTTTCAGTAGCTTGTTGCCATCAGTACTAGACAAGTAAAAGGTATTGAAATCAATGCTATTTTCTGTTAGTAGACATAGTCATCTTTAGTGTTCAAGTTTATAACAATAATAAATATATCATAACAAATTATGATGTGCCAGATGACGATGACAACAGCCCTATAAAGCGAGAAAAGGTTTTCCTGCAGTATATATTACTTGGTTATCAACAAACGATAAATTGTAGAAGAAAAGCAATGACATAAATCATCATTATGTTCGGAACAAGTTTATACGAGATGCTTCGACTTTTAAAATTGTTACTGACCAAGTGATGATAGTCATTTATGGGTTTCGAAAATGTCACATAGATTGTAGGGTGGCCGCAACCTTTGTTGAAATGGGTTAGCTACTTGATATAAAATCTATCACCTACGTAATCAAGCTTCTAATTAACATAGGGAACAAATTAGTATCCACTTTATTGGGAATTGCACTAAAAAGAGATAAGTATTGTATTTCATATTATGGTGGCAGTAATCTCAACGGGTAGGTTAATCGGCAAAGCGCATATTTGAACGAAGATAGACACAAATAGCCCTGCTGATGATAAAACACGCGAAATAAGACACCTGCTGAGGTACTCTGCTCATAAATTTGCTGATCTTCGCTGAAATGTAAACACAACGACACTCTTTCCATCTACAATAGTTTCCTAAATTAAGTTGCAAATATTTCGTTTTACGTGGATTTTTGTTCCGAACGCTTAGCCAGTTTTTTTAGCCTATCCTGGTATCCCTCGTTAGTCTCGATAAACCTCTTTTACCACCCACGCTATGCGCTTGCGGCGCGTATTTTTCCAAAACATTTAGTTATTTGAAATATTCGTATGCTCTAACCAAAGGCGGATATATTTTTTGAAGTTAGCTAGACCTATCAGGTTCTACCAGTCATCTACGGATTTACTGTTACGTATTATTTACCTAAAATCGAAATAAACACGCTAACAAAGGCTTACTGTAAAAATACTATAT